CCCTGCTGCCTTGATGTGCGGAAGACAGAGACTGCAGCAAGCTTGGCCCGGACACCTGAGGCAGTCGGGTTCGTGAACTTCTTGCAGATCACTGTGTGAGCTTCAACTGGACAGTCAATCTTCCTTGTGTCCAACGACATGAGACATTGCTTGACCGTTGCTCAAACCAACTTGCAAGCTTCAACTCAGGGCTGTCCAATACCCCCGAAATCCAAGCAAGATGTCCCAAACAACACAAGGTATGGCCGTCCAGCCGCTGCGCACGGGACACCGAATACCGAATAAACACACCAACGGTCGCCTTTGATCCACGAACGGTTCGCATGGGGTTAGAGTGGGCCAGACCTGAGGTTCGCCAGAAAAAGTGTCAGCCGTTTGGGGCACGAAATAGCAAGAAAGAAGTGGAGGGCGGACAAATTCGCCTTTGAGCAAACGGGTCCAATAAACGCTCAAAGCTGGCACAGAAGGTTACCTTTAACGTGGCCCCAAAAGGGCCCAAGAGGAGGCCCAATCCAAAAGCCCCTCCCCCCCATCCTCCTCACATCCTTCCCCCACCCCATGCCTCATTGGTGTCAGTCTGAGCCTATGATGCTTGCAGTGCAAGCGGACACGACACTCGCGCAGCGCATGCGGGCACCATCACACGGACCTGCCTGGCCCCCGTCGAACTTGCCTTGGGATCGCTTCGGCTCAGATGGCGTGGCCAGGCCCAAAGGGACGACTCCGTAACCCAAACCAACGGACCATGCAAGATCGAACATGACTGGTTCGCGACTGAAGTCCCCCTATCCGTTACCGTCGCCTGGGCAAGCCAGAATGCTGCCTTTCCCGAGCCGCGGAACTAAGTTCCCAGGGTTCCCATTTTGGAGCAACCCCCAATACGCAGGGGTTGGTATTTTTGAGACCAACTACCGGAACTGGCGCATCTGGGCCAGTTGCTACAGGACGTGCTGGCTCCACAGCCCATGGCGCCTCGACGCAATTTGTCAGTGCTGGCACAAAGGCACGGTGGACCATCCTCGCAACTTCTTTGTCATGTCGAAGGGAGTTCTCTTAAAGGGCCACTACCCCAGCCCTCGGCGCCTTAGCTGCTCAAAAGCAGATGTCATCACAGGCTGAGCCAACAGCCACAGGAAGCACAGCGAGGCGAGCAAGCGAGCAAGCGAGCAAGCTTCTGCAGGAGCATGATACATTCACATGGCAGCGGTTCAAAACAATGCACCAGGCCCTGCCAGGCACCTCTGTTCAAACATGTTTCAGGTCCCGTTGGAAAAGCCATCAACCTTGGAACTGCACTCCTGGTTAACATGGAACCCAAAAAAGGGATCTCCTTGCTCGGGCTGAGGGCTTTCCAACAGGTTCAGATTGCGCTCAAATTGCCGGCGAAAAGGACTGTTCTGCCAGCTGTGGTGCGGATCTTTGCTCGGGTTGGGCTGGCAGCACAACTGCGTGGCGGGCGCTGCATAAGACTTCACTCGGGCCGGGCGGCGAGGCCGAGGGAGGAGCTCGGGACGTGTGGAGGAAAGAGGCATTTACAAAATTACGGTGCCAGGCGGACGGCTACAAGGAGAATGGCCAGGCGGAGAAGGTCAAGGTGATTGCCCCGGTTGCTGCAATGTCCACGTCTTCGGGGGGCTACTGGGTTTGGAGCTAGGTGGACGGCAGGTTTTCTCTCCAAAACACATGTGTGTTTCGCCGGAGGAGAAAGGAATGAGCTGCAGGTTAAGCTCAGCAGGTGAAGGTTGAGGACGCGGACCGCCTGGAGGAGGAGCGGTGAGTCAGCAAGGCAGTGGGGGCACACAGGAGGCGAGGAATGAGCTGGTCGATGACCAAGCACTGAAGGCAGTGCGCTCGGTGCTGAGTAGCACGATCGACACCCCGCAGGTCCTGGAGTTTGTGCCTTCAAAGGTCCTGCACCGGACGGGCGGAAGGTTAAAATCGTGTGGCAATCTTGCCTCCGGGGTGCAGGACACCTACGCATCGGCAGGAAGGGTTGGTCTGGCGGCGACAGACATTGGAACCAGGGAGATGTTGGCGATCTTCAGGGAGCACGGGCTGGCGGCCAGTGATGAGGTCTGGATCATAGACAAGGCGATCTACGTCCTCAGGGTGCACAGGGATGGCACTCCCGAGAAGATGGCCTGAACGTGGAAGGACCAGAACGAGGTGGAGCCGAATTTCTGGAGTGTTGGTGCGAGGATCGGCGGCATCGATCTGATTGACGGAGGACATGGGCTTCACGTCCATCTACGTGGACAACGTGCTCATAGCCGTGGAGCTGTGATGGCGGGAGGAACCGGTGAGGATTGGTGGCTTTGAGGTACGCGCACCGAGCGCCTACGCAAAGGAGCTTGTGGACAAGGGTGTGAAGGAGAAGAAGGTGCAGGCCCTGAGAGGACGAGGAACCGGATGAGGCCAAACTCAAGGAGGCGCAGGCCCTCACTGGAAGCCTGCTCTTGTTAGCCACAAAGACCAGGCCGACTTGATGGCGGGTGACAATGACAAACATGAAGAGCCCCAAGCAGGTGGTATGTGAACGCCACGCACGAGGGAGTCGGGATCGCGAGGGACCACCTCAGTGCCAGCGGGGCATCCTTGTCTACTTTGCAGGCTTGCGGATCGTCTGGGAGACGACGAAGCAGCCATTTGTGGACTGTCGTTGGTGGTGAGGAGAGCCTTGGGAAGCAGCTCACCCAGAAGAGGATCTATGGCAAGAACATGCTGACCGAGGACCGGCGACGATGGGCCTTGGAGGATGGATGGTTGCTCACCCTTTCGGAGGGGAAGCAGTTGGTGGCGGACGGCGCTGCATGGCAGACTTTCGAGCGCTTCCGGGAGGACTTGGGCTTGCCAGTGATCAAGAAGTTGAAGAAGAAGGCCGCCAGCAAGGAGGTCATGACTGGCAGTGGCGACGCGACGATGAAGCTGTTGGACAGGGTGCGGATTTGGTGGGCAAAGCTAGTGGACGAGGTGCATGCGCTCACTGCCTTTTGTTTGGTGGTGATTGGCGCGCTGTGGGTCTTGGAGCAGGCCACGAGCATACTATTCGTACTGACGGTGGGTGCGAAAAGGCTGAAACTGGCGGGACCAAAGCTGGTGCTCAGGAACAACCTGTTGGTGGTGGAGGTTCGTGCCACGGCAGCCGCCTTCGGTGTGGACGCCGGCAACGTGGCTTGGGGCAGCACCTTGGCCGAACACGTGGCTTCGGCCTTCTGTTCCTGGGCCGATAACTCCATCGGTAGAGCCGAGCACGCCAAAGCACGCAGCGCAACAACGCAAGCACGACGTCCTCAAGCGCCTCAGTCAGGCGATGGAGGAGATTTGGCTCGCTCGCCATGGCAGGGCGCCTACATGGGCACGCACCACACCGCTGCATGGTAATGCGCACTGACTGGCACTTGCACTTGGCAGCAAAGCAAATAGCATGAGAGCAACCAGTGCAGCCACGCACAGAAGGCGTCCTTGGCGCTTTCCAGACGGTTTACACCACGCGGCTACATTGCTACATCACCTAGCGTGTCGGCAGCCAATGTCATTTAAGCCCTCCTTCCTCTCCCTCTTCTCAATGCCCCCGTGAAAGCGCTTGGCGCTGTGGCTACAACATGAATAACATTATCGTTTTGCCATCGTTTTGCTCAGCTGCCAACTGGCTGGCTGCTTCTCAACAAGCTGTGCCAGAACATGCACGAGAGCGCATGCAGGGCAAGATGCACGACAGGACACGATGCACGACTGCAAGATGCACGACAGCACGCGCAGACCAAGATGCACAGGAGGACGTGCTCTGTTCCGATGACAAATAACTGAGGACTTTTACGCTGTTGGATTTGTGTGCGTTTTTTGACTTTGTGTGTTTTTTTCGGAGACCGGCGTGGTCGATGTTGAAAACTGTGGGCCTTTTGCGATTTTGGATTGACACTCTGCGGGGATCGGAGCGGTCGATTGTCAAACAAACAACTGAGGACTTGTTACAATTTTGGATTTTTGTGTGCGAGACCCTCTGCCGGGATCGGAGCGGTCGATGTCGACGATGTTGGACGGGATCGGCGTTGTCGATGTCAAAAAACTGTGGACTTCTTACGATTTCTGATCGGCGTGGTCGATGTGCCGAAACTGAAGACTTGTTACGGTTTCTGCGGTTCGCGCGCGATCCTCTGCGGGGATCAGCGTGGTCGATCGCACAAAATGCTAGTTTGCGCGCCTGCTCTTGGAAGCGAGCAACCCCGGGCTCGAACTGGTCTCCGCGGCTTCTAAGATAGAAAGTCAGCAGCAAGAAAGTAACTCGCAAAGTGCACTTTCACAGCTCCGGCTGGAAGGTCGAAAAGTAGCACGCGCAACTTCAAGTACCAAAGCAACACGCGACTCCGGCTGGAAGATCGCAACTTGTAAGTAGGACATCGTTGCGCAAAGTACACTTCCAGAAGGCTTCGGCTGGCAAATTCGCAGCTTTTGCCTGTACGCAAGTGTTACAGGTCCGGGTCGACAATTGGACTCACGCCGAAAAGTTTGTGGTCAGCGCTGCCCGCAGAGAACTTGCTCAGAGAACTTGCTCATAGAAACTTGTTCCGAGCTTGCGCAGCGGCAGTCTGCGTCTGCAGCTCACCCATGAAAAGGGAAGCAAGCACACATGCGTGAAATCGACATTCTTGAAGGGGTCTGGAGGAAACTGAGGAACCTCAGAGGCGTGGCCTTGAAGACATTCAAGACGCATGGGCAGAGATTCCGGCGAATACCTAGTTTTTTTGGGGGAGGCAAGTTAGGAGGTGTGAGGTTGGCCGGCCGTTTCGCCATTCCCCTGTTTAGGCGGCGCCGCGTCGCCTCCGCCAAAAAGCCCACGCCTATTGCGGGGAGGTTGGCCGGCCTTAGCCTCGCGCCGCGCCGCGAGGAGGTCAAGGTGATATGGCGGCGGCAGTGGTACGTAGCCCAAGGTCCAGCACGGGGATCCTAGACGGCTTACAACAAGTGGCAAACCCTGTCCAACCAAGCGCACGCAGTACTTTTCTTCTTTCAAGTCTTCACGGCCGCAGCAAGGGCAGCAATCATCTTGGCCTGTCGAGCAAAATGTGGGCAGGAAACCAAGGCACAACAAGCCCCCCCTTGCCTGAAAGGTTTTCCCAATTGCTCCCATTGCGCACAGCAATAAGGACGTGTTTGCAAGATGTGTCGAGGTGTTCGTCCGCAAGCGTCCGCAAGCGTCCGCATTTGGAAGACCCGTTGGGATTCTGCAAAGTACGACGTTCTAATGAATTTTGAAGCGCTGATGTCGTTGCGCCTTGCGTGAGTCATGTGTTTTGCAATGGTGCATGCGCAGTGTTTTGGAAGGCCGCTTTGAGGCGTCTTGCTTGGCAGGCGCGCGCTCAAGCGTTTGCGCGTGCGCCCTGTTTCAATTGGCTCGTTTTTGCAAGCTTGAAAAATGTCAAAATCGTTCGAAATCATTCGGGCGCAGCCCCCTCCTAATTTTGGACGCTCACCGTAAACAGGTTTCGCGACAGCCCTTGTGTCTCTCTGTGTGGCTCTGTCTGTCTCTCTATCTCTCTGTCTCTCTATCTCTCTGTCTCTCTGTCTCTCTTTCTGTCTCTCTCTCTCTCTCTCGTTCCCTCTCTCTCTCTCTCCCTCTCTCTCTCTCTCTCTCTGTCTCGCTCTCTCTCTCGCTCTCTCTCTACATGGTACTTGGTAGGCTTGGTACTTGGTAGGCTTGGTACTTTGGGGGGCTTCGTACTTGGTGCTTGGTAGGCTTGGTACTTGGTAGGCTTGGTACTTTGTGGGCTTGGTGCTTGGTAGACTTGGTACTTGGTAGGCTTGGTACTTGGTGGGCTTGGTACTTGGTAGACTTGGTACTTGGTAGGCTTGGTACTTGGTGGGCTTGGTACTTGGTACTTGGTAGGCTTGGTACTTGGTAGGCTTCAGCAGTTTCGATAACCTTCCTCTCAAGCGCGCACGTGCGACAGTGAGGTCAGAGCGTCTCTCCTTGGAAACAGAAAGTAGTCAAAAAGTGATGTGTAAACCAACATGAACATAAAAGCACACCTGGTAGAGAAAGCCCTGACAAGCCTCCCCCCATTATAACCACAAAGCCCATGTTCCGCGGCCTCAACCGTCTTGTGAAAGGCCACCTCGCACCATCAAAGCAGAGCATTGACTCGTTCAGCGTGGACAAAGGGGGGCCGTTGACATGTTGCTCAAACTGAGGGGTTGTTGATCCTGTGTCCAAATGCTGGCCCCGTCGAAATGGTTGTTTTTGATCACAGTCGCTTTCAAGATTGGTCATAGACCCAACCTACTCCCGGGTTGTATCCCTGCTTTTGCTCAAAAAAATCGCGGTCACTGACATCCCACTCATCCCGCCATTCCCCTCAAATTCTGCCGTGACCTGTTTGCTTTTTTGTTAGGCGAAGCTGCCTGGATCTGCGGCCCGAAGCCGCTCACCACGGCAGCACAGTACCTGGCCCACGTGGTGCCATCCAGGGCTAACTAGAAAATGATAAGTTATGCGTGTTTATTGTAACCTATATATGTATATGTGTGCGCGTGCACACGCTGTACGTGCACATGTGATCAGATTAGTACACACACACCCCTTTCCTCCTGGCGGCCTGACTCTCTCTGTCTGTGTGTGTGCGTGTGTCTCTGTCTGCGTGTGCTCTGTGTGTGCGTGTCTCTGTGTGCGTGTGTGCGTGTGTGCGTGTGTGCGTGTGTGCGTGTGTGCGTGTGTGCGTGTGTGCGTGTGTGCGTGTGTGCGTGTGTGCGTGTGTGCGTGTGTGCGTGTGTGCGTGTGTGCGTGTGTGCGTGTGTGCGTGTGTGCGTGTGCGCGTGTGTGCGCGCGCGCGCGTGCGCGCGCGTGCGCGTGCGCGTGCGCGTGCGCGTGCGCGTTCGCGTGGGCGTGGGCGCGGGCGTGTGCGTGCGCGTGCGCGTGCGCGTGTGCGTGTGCGTGTGCGTGTGCGTGTGCGTGTGCGTGTGCGTGTGCGTGTGCGTGTGCGTGTGCGTGGGCGTTGGCGTGTGCGTGGGCGTGGGCGTGCGCGTGCGCGGGCGTGTGCGTGCGCGTGTGCGTGTGCGTGTGCGTGTGCGTGTGCATGTGCGTGTGCGTGTGCGTGTGCGTGTGCGTGTGCGTGTGCGTAAGCGTGCGCGTGCGCGTGTGCGTCTCTCTGTGTGCGTGTGTGCGTGTCTCTGTGTGCGCGTGCGCGTGTGCGCGTGTGCGCGTGTGTGCGTGTGTGCGTGTGTGCGTGTGTGCGTGTGTGCGTGTGTGCGTGTGTGCGTGTGTGCGTGTGTGCGTGTGTGCGTGTGTGCGTGTGTGCGTGTGTGCGTGTGTGCGTGTGTGCGTGTGTGCGTGTGTGCGTGTGTGCGTGTGTGCGCGTGTGCGCGTGTGTGCGTGTGTGCGTGTGCGTGTGTGCGTGTGCGCGTGTGCGCGTGTGCGCGTGTGCGCGTGTGCGCGTGTGCGCGTGTGCGCGTGTGCGCGTGTGCGCGTGTGCTAGATTGGCTGTTTTTTTTATAGAGAGTTATGGTGTTATCTGAACATCATAAGCAGTTAATAAAGGAATATAAGTATGTGTTAACAAGTTACATGTAAGTGACAACAATATATAAGTATGCATAAAATATACACAGGATTAAAAGGAGTAAATAAAAAGAAGAGTTTTTAAGCTAACTCGGTATACGGTATAAGATAAACACTTTCGCTAACTAGTTATATTTTTGTGTAAAAAAATAATAAAAAAAATACACCAGGGCAACACTTGTGTTCAAGGTGAATGTATATGTAGCCCAAGCTGAAACAAAAACAAATTTCTGTTCGGGATGTAACATTTTTTTATTCTGCCCACACGATTTCTCTTTTTGGATGGAAAGTCGTCCTGCTATTCTACAAAATGATTATAATGTTTTCTTGCAGTGCCAGAAAGGAGTCATAGGCATAGCCGAAATGTATTGATCCTTTTTTGTTTTTTAGCCACGAAGGATGAAAATTGAAAACGAAATGATCGATAAGCATTTTCCATTCTTCACCAAGACAGCATGTGGAGCCATGTGGCTGTCCCAGGCTTTGTTTCCATCTTGCATTGCATATTTTGCTGCCAGGGACCAGAAGCAAGCCCCTGCAACTCACAGCCCCACTGAAGGCACAGGCCAGCCATGGTTACCATAAGCCAGAAGGTGGTGCTCCAATACCGAGACGAGCGAGCAGTCACCAGACCCAATGACTACATTTTGGTAGGGCCCACCAATGGCAAGTCTTACTTGCGGGTGAAGGCAACCTGTCAATCCAGGAACAGCGATGGTGACCACTTCCAGCATGGCGATGCGGGATGCTTTCCTCTTCTTGGGTGGCGTCGATGGATTTGCAGGGCCATCGTCGAACAGCTGGGCCTGCTCTCCATCGTCTGGCGCGTCTGGGTCGCGCACGTGGTCCAACTGATGGTTTCTGGCCTGGACCAGTTCCCGCAGGCCCAGGTAGGTTCCATTTGAGTGGAAGTGTTGATCCATGGACGCAGGCCGAGAAGCACCGACCTGGCTGTCGAGCTGGAAGCCACCCAACTGGAGGCTGTCATCATCCACTTGCGAGAGGACTCGGCCCAGGCCACCCAGCAAAGCAAGCGACCATATGTGAAGAAAACAAAGGCATGAACACCATGCCAGACTCTATAGACTGCAGCGGCTGCTCCCAGAAGAAAAATGCATCGCGTGCAGTCGTGTGCTTCCGAGCCCCGTCTGGCTGTTCCATGCAGCGCCCAGTTGTATCACGTTTTTAGGGTCTCGGGTTTAAAGTCGATGTCGTGAAGGAAGAAAGCCGTCTGTGGTCCCAAGAGCTTGTATACGTCCTGCCAGAACCAGAAGGCGGTCCAAGAGGTGGAAGCCATCTTGCATCCAAGCAGGGTGTGAACAACAAAGTGGAGGCCGTGCTCCAGCTTCTCCGAGCCCATGGATCCCAACTTCTGTGCCACCCGGCTAACAGAGCTGGGGGCATGGTGGGGTACCATGATTGCTGGCAGAAAGGATGCCAAATGATCGCCGTAGGCTTCAAGCGATCCATTCTGGACGGCACGACCACATGCTGCCAGCTCGCCACCCAGGAGGAGAAGCGTGGTGCCCAGCTGGCCGCCAACCAGGAGCTGGTGAGCAACTCCAACGGCCACTTAGCACCACTGACTGGCCAAGAGGGCCACTCGACTTTCTGTCATTCCCACATGTATATGAACACCCACGTCGTGCCAAACGTAAAATATAAGTATATTCTTGCCTGCCAGGTTTCCTCACCCTGTCGGCCAGCCACACCATCGCCTTCCTGCGATGCCTCCAGTACGGCATCGAGGGGCCAGAGGGTACCCACGCCATAGTGCAGAAGGATAAGGACCCCACGCAGGAGACGATCCAGAAAGGCTGGACGTGGTGCGTCATCTCGGCCCAGGTGGAGGAGGCCATGCCACACCTGCCATCCTTCATCGAGCTTGCCATGAACAGCACCAATGCCATCATGAAGCAAGCCAACGAGCTGGAGGTAGCACTCCAGCTGGCCACAGCTTTCGACCAAGGCCTCACCATGCAGCAGGCGATCGGGAAGGTAAGCCAGGCCAGCACCAGCTGCCAAAGATCTATCCCCAGCATTGCCATGTTTGTGCAGAAGTTTGGAGGCGGGTCGCCAGGCTTTCCATTTTTACACTTTTTGAATGGCTTCTCCAAATCCTTCAATGCCAGTTTGCAGATTGGCACAGAGACCATGCAACTGCTTTCCACTTTGGACTTCCGTGTGGCCACACAGATCTATCCAATGAAACGCATCAGTCTGTGGGCTACCATGCTCACGTCCCCAAAGTCGCAGGATGGCTTTGCCAAGATCTTGACCCAGTCAGACATCCAGCGACTGAAAACGAGCCTGCAGTCCAGCAGGCAGAAGCCATGCTTCAGGACGCTTGGAGAGTCCAGCAGCAGATGAAGGCCATGAAGGCCAGGCCAGAAGCTGTGCTCCAGAAAGCTTTCGGCCGGATGGCAGTGCGAACCACCCTCTTCCTCTGCTCCAAGCAGAAGCAGGGAAGGGAGGCCAAGCAGTGGTCCAGCTTGGAAGAAATCCTCCAAGCTTTCACCAACGAGATCCAAGATTCTGCAGGGACTGCAGCCCAGGCGAAGAAGCCAGAGCCTGCCAGCAGCCAGGGAGTCACCAGCGTGCTGGATGCCAGCCCAAAGGCAATAGCCTTGTTGCAGAATAACCACATGGAGTTGGGCAATATGCAGCTTGCTCGCAGCAATATAAGTGCGGACATATATATATATATATAGACACAGATCTTTTCGGGTTTACGTACAGCGATATACTAGCCTGCCCAGGTACACCAACTCCGCAGACCATGGTCCCAAGGTGTTCGTGCTGGAGTCCATGGACGACTCCCGGGATCCGCATCCCGTGCTTGACCAATAGCCACCATGTTGCCGTCCACGACCAATTGCTTTACAGCACCGAGGAACCATGCGCGAGCTCTTCTTCCCAGCACCAAGCCAAGAAGAAGAAAACCAGCTGAGCCATCTGGGAGTCCATCATGATCCAGAGCATGCCACATGGCATGCAATCACCGACACAGCAGACGATGCTCAAGGAGTTTTCGGACCAAAATCAATCGTGTTGCATCTCAGTTTCCGCGCTTCAGAGACCCAGTAGCTGTTCCATTCGTCGTGTCTGCAGAGCCTCGATGGCTGTTCCAGTGAAAGTGTGCAGTTGCATGCAATGAGCCCATGGCGGCTGTTCTAGGAAGCAATTCCACGCAGTGAGCCCATGTGGCTGTTCCAGGAAGCAGATTTGTCCCAGAGCCACAGTGTAGGCTGACCCATCATGCTACCATCCAAACGAACCACCATGCTGCATGTTTTCACTTTGCGACCCAAGTGCTCAAGCAATCCCACCTGGCTCTCCTCCAGACACAGCCATGGCTCCCAAGACAAAGGCCGCCATGAAGGTTGCCAGCCACAAGGTCCAGAAGAAGCCCAGCGTCGGCGAGGCCCCCAAGAAGAAGCCAGCCATGAGCCAGGACACCATGACGGGCCATTTCCAGGACGCTCCAGACGTCCTCTGGCACTGGCAGATCCGATGCCAGACCAAAGGGCGCCCATCCTCCATTTATTTGAGGAAGGCCAGCCACCACCGTGTTTGCCAGAAATGCCAGGCGCCATGGTTCGGGAGCTTCCCCAAAGGATTGCATCTCCCAAAAGCCATGAGCCCATAGGAGCCCATGCAAGCAGCCAGGAGAAGCTATGTTTGTATGATGGATGGAAAAAAACGTTTGCATGCTTGCAGAGCCCTAGTGGCTGTTCCAGTTGTCTTGTTCCATGCTTTGTTCCCAGAGGCCGCCCAACATGTGGCTGTACCAAGAAGCCAGTTTTCATGTTGCAGTGAGCCCAAAATGTGGCTGTGCCATGTCGCAGAACTACATTTTTTTGTATTACATTGGAACATTGCGACGGTGC